AGAAATATTTAGGGGCCAACCCTTCAACTCCCTAATGGGGACGTTTAGTGAAAAATAAAAGGTTGCATATTGTTCAGAACATGATTTTGAACATCTTTTGTTCAATATTACTTATCAAAATATTTCTCATTCTCGAGATATAAAGCGTCAAAGATTTGGCATTCTGGCCCCTTGTGGCCCCTAATTATGAACCATACGACATGAAAATCATAATATACTGTTGTAGATTGTTGAGATAAACATTTTTGCTTCAGTAAAGTATAGCAAAATATTGACTCTAAAAGAGTTATCGAAAAAAGACTTTAAGCCCCTCTTGGCCCCTAATTATGTACCATACGATATGAAAATCATAATATATAGTTGTAAATTGTGGAGATAAACATCTTTGCTTCAGTAATGTATTACAAAATATTAACAACTATAGAGTTATCGATTGAAGATTTTTGGCCCCTCTTGGCTCCTAATTTGAGCGCCCAGCCCCTTTTTCTTGATTTCATCTGAAAGCTCTTTGGATTTTGAACACTTTTTGTTCAACAACTTTTCAGAGATTCTTTTTCGTTTTCGAGTTATTAGCAAAAGAAATATTTAGGGGCCAACCCTTCAACTCCCTAATGGGGACGTTTAGCGAAAAATGAAAGGTTGCATATTGTTCAGAACATGATTTTAAACATCTTTTGTTCAATATTACTTTTAAAAATATTTCTCACTTTCGAGATATGAAGTGTCAAAGATTTAGCATTCTAGCCCCTTTTGGCCCTTAATTATGTACCATACGACATAAAAATCATAATATATAGTTGTAAATGGTTGAGATAAACATCTTTGCTTCAGTAATGTATTACAAAATATTAACTGGTAAAGAGTTATCGATTGAAGACTCTCGGCCCCTTTTGGCCCCTAATTTTAGTGCCCAGCCCCTTTTTCTTGATTTCATCTGAAAGCTCTTAGGATTTTGAACACTTTTTGTTCAACAACTATTCAGAGATTCTTTTTCGTTTTCGAGTTATTTGCAAAAGACATATTTAGGGGCCAACCCTTCAACACCCTAATGGGGACGTTTAGCAAAAAATAAAAGGTTGCATATTGTTCAGAGCATGATTTTGAACATCTTTTGTTCAATATTACTTATCAGAATATTTCTCACTTTCGAGATATAAAGCGTCAAAGATTTAGCATTCTGGCCCCTTGTGGCCCCTAATTATGTACCATACGACATGAAAATTATAATGCATAATTGTAGATTGTTGAGATAAACATTTTTGCTACAGTAATGTATTACAAAATATTTACTACTAAAGAGTTATCGATTGAAGACTTTTGGCCCCTATTTGCCCTTAATGTGATGACTCAGCACTTTTTTCAAGGTATCCTCTTAAAGATCTTGTGATTTTGCACAAATATTGTTCATTATGTTTTAACAAAATAATTATATTTCAAAAGATATGATGCAAAATGTCTAAAAAAAATCATTCATAAAAGGTATCCTAAATTTTGACCCCTACCGAGCTTCCATACTATGTATTTCGGGAAACTATCCAAAATCCCAGTAACATGGGAACATGTCTTCTATCATCACTGAAAATTTCAGCGCTCTAGCTCAAGCCGTTTTCGAGATAATGGACGGACAAGAAGGTCCTCTGAATTTTAAAAAAAGGGCCATAACTCTAGACCTGAAGTGATTTTCAGCCGGTATAAACTTCAGATAATTCAGCATCATCCCTGAAAATTTGAAGGAAATCCATCCAACCATCTCTGAGAAATCCTCTGCACAAAATTTGTGCAGAAAAAAAGAATAATAATGATAACTAGAGCAAAGCTCGTTGCAAAGCAACGAGTAGGTCTTCCGTCCTGTTTGACCGGAAGTAGCTTTCATTTTCAACAAAAATGAGAAATAACGCCCAAAAATGGTTTGAATCCTCTAAAGCTATGTTAATTAATGCAAAAAATAAGCAATTTTTGCTACTTCCGGTTTAACCGGAAGTGACGACGACGGACGGAAAATTAATTTTATGCTCCAAGAGTTATATATTACTCAAAAAACTTGACAAGAACGGCAAAAATACGCGTTTTTGACTACTTCCGGTTTGGCCGCAAGTGACGACGCCGGACGTATTTTGACGACTCAAATAGATTAAGCTTGTCATTTTGAACAACTTTGCTTCTTTGAAGTATTACAAATTGTCAATACTTTTCGAGATATCAAGTAAAAATATAACCAACCGTTTTTGAGAAATCGCGTGCACAAAATCGGTAAGAAAAAAATAATAAGAAAAACAGTGGAAAAGAAACAAACGAATAACAAGAAGGTCTTCCGCTGAAGACGGAAGACCTTGATAATAATAAGAAAAGTGAAAAAGAAACATAAGAATAATAGAAGGGTCTTCCGCTGAAGACGCTAGACCCTAAAAATAGTGGAAAAGAAACCTAAGAAAAACAATAAGGTCTTCCGCTGAAGACGGAAGACCTTAATAAAAATAGTGGAAAAGAAACCTAAGAATAACAGTAAGGTCTTCCACTGAAGACGGAAGACCTTAATAATAATAGGGAAAAAGAAACCGAACGAAAACAATAAGGTCTTCCGTTGGAAACGGAAGACCTTAATAAATAAGAAACAGTTTTTAAAACTTACATCACACTACTAAAAAATATCACTATTCCTCCGTGGTGTTTCACAGTGACAGTATTCACCACATTAAAAGTGACAACCGGAAATAACTTAAATCCCTGTTTACTAGTTTCTACAAATAAAATTAGCGACAGGCACAGCAATTACAACAATTTCCGTACAACTATTTATGTTGGATTTAAACTGATTAAAAGTAGTAATATTTCTAAAAGATTCTGGTAAAGAATTCCAAAGTTTTGCAGACTCATATCTAAAAGACTTCAACCCATATATTGTTGATCTTGTTTTTGGTAAAACAGCAGTTTTCGTGAATCTTAAAGAATAAGGTATTTCTTTAATATGAATAAAATCATGCAGGAAAGACGGGCTTTGCTTGTTTAAAATCTTAAAACATTCTATGGCCATTGTTTTAATACGCCTGAGTTTCAGGCATGGTAAATTTGATTTGTCCAAAAGATAACTATATGAATTTTTGTAGTCATCATAAACAAACCGCAGTGCTCTTTCCTGTATTTTTTTTCATTTTTCTTCTCTCTCGTTCACCACAAAAATGCCAAACTAATGGACAATAGTTGAAGTTTGACATGATAAATGTATGATAAATGGTTAGTTTTACTAATTTGGTCAGGTGTACCCCTATTCTTTTAAGTACATTTAATTGTTGTGAAGCTTTTTTACAAATGTTTGAAATATGAGAGCTAAACTTAAGCTGAAAATCTATAGTAATACCAAGTAATTTTACTTCGTTTTCCGGATGAATCATAATACCATCAATTTCAAAACAAATGTTTTCCTGTTTAGTTTTCTTTCCGAGACATATAGATTGAAATTTATCGGGATTTGCTTGCATTTGATTATCTCTAAACCACTTAATTAAGTTCGAACAATTTGATTCTAAGGTATTTTTTAGTGATGTAATATCGTCACTTGAGTTTGAAAGAGTGTTGTCATCGGCATAGTTGTAGAGATCACAATCTGACACAAAATGAAAAATATCATTGATAAAAATATTAAAAATAACAGGACCAAGTATTGAACCCTGTGGAGCACCTTTGTACAATTCTAAAAAATCGCTACAAACTTCCCCCAGTTTTACACACTGTTTTCGATTGCTTAAATAGCTTGAGATAAGACTACTAGCTGCATTTGTAAAACCGTATGCATTAAGTTTTGCTAAAACTAAATCATGTGGAATACAATCAAATGCTTTAGATAAATCCATCATAATTTCTGCTGTATATTTTTTATGATCAAGGGCATACTTCCAATCCTCAACAATCTTTAGCAACACACTCTGACAACCATAGCCTGGTCTAAAAGCTGATAACATATCATTAAAATGGCAACTGAAAAAATCAGACAATTGACTATAAATAACCCTTTCAAAAATCTTTGACAATGTAGGTAAAATGCTAACTGGTCTATAGTTTCCTTTTTCAAAAACACTTTGCTTCTTGTGAAGTGGAACCACTTGTGCAATTTTCATACGATCTGGAAAAACATTTTTAGAAAAACAAAAATTTACAATATTGGTCACAGGGTTCAATATGTGTTCATGGCTAAGTTTAACAATTCTAGCTGAAATACCATCAATTTGAGTAGCTTTTTTCAAGCCCAATCCGTTAATGCATTTACTTACAAAGTCATTGTCTACAGGGTGAAAAGAAAAAGATTCAACAGCATCCTTATCTTTGATACTTTTAAATAAGATGAAACAAAGACGTTGATTGATTGATTGATTGATTGATTGATTGATTTATTGACTGATTATATATTGTTTAACGTCCCTCTCAAGAATTTTTCACTCATATGGAGACGCCAGAAAGCACAAAGTGGGATCAGGTGCTTAGGTGAAGAAAGCATCCCTTATTGACAAATCCCACCTCAGATAAGCGGACTTTACTGCTTATAAATCTCATCTGAAAGCATATCAAAATCAATTCTTTTACATACAATACATTTTTAATTTTTCTACTTCAGATGTTACAGAAAAAATAGCAGTTCTAGAAATATTAAACACTTTGTATTTGTGTGGGAAACTGTCAAATTCGATGCCGGAAATTAGATTTTGAAGAATGATTTGTTGGCTATATCTATCAAGAATTATATGTTTAAGGGTCAAATGTCATGAGCGTATTTCTCAATTATTACTATCAGTAATTCTTTAACATACAATACATTTTTTTCTACTTCAGATGTTACAGAAAAAATAGCAGTTCTAGAAATATTAAACACTTTGTATTTGTATGGGACACTGTCAAATTCGATGCCGGAAATTAGATTTTGAAGAATGATTTGTTGGCTATATCTATCAAGAATTATATGTTTAAGGGCCAAATGTCATGAGCATATTTCTCAATTTTTAATTTTTTAAGAAAAGGTTATACATTCAGCTAATTTTATTTAATTTTTGATAAGTGTTTCATTTTAAGTCATTATACTCCGGATAATTTGCTTACATTGCACAAAGATAATTTGTTTTGTACGCGTCTCAAGTATCAAATCATGTTTAAGAAAGAACACTATTACATCTATTGTTCATTTAGTACATCCTTCACTGAATTCCAGATGTTTAAAATTTGGACAAAGATAACATTCTTTATATGAAAGCTTTACAAGTATCAGGGCATCCTTTCAGCGTAAAACACATAACCTTTTAAGGTTATATGAGTTGATAAGATTTCAAAATATCTTTAACACACATAATATAAAGGGCTCCTTTAACCATCCAAAGTTAATGCAAAGATGGGACTTCTACAAGTACTAAGCTTTATTCTGTCTATGTTTCTGTATGGAACATTTGGTGATTCATCTTTAATTGAAAACGAAGCTTCTGATCAAAAAGGTTTGCTCCCTAGTACTGTATCCGGTAAAGCTTCCAATGTCCTACGTGACATTCTGAATCAGGAAAGTCTGGTCCGCTTCTCTATGGTACAAAAAATACAAGGTCTAGTGATGGATGCCGTGGACAGCAAAAAAGATGGACAAGTTATCAAGGCAAAACTCAGTGAGGTGACAAAGGAACTGCAGGATTTGGAGACTAAAAGCCAAATTATTGAGAAAGAAAATATCAAACTTAAAGAAGAATTAAAGGAGGTGTACGGGACAGTGAATGACAATAGAAACTTTACAAAGGAAGAAATTCAGTATCTTGAACAGAGGATTGATAAAAAAGTTTTAGGTCTCCAAGAACAGCTTGATTTGTCAAAAAAGACATTGGGAAGTGACTTGAAAAAAGTCTTACAGACATTGAAGATGACGGAACAGAATACAAAAGAGAAAATAAAGGCTTTAAATGAATCGCAAATGGTTTCCGCTAAAAGCCCGCAAATCGAAATGCTCCAATATCAAATGAATGCAATGAATGTAACATTACAGAAATGCAGCGTAAGCACTTTTTTTGAACGTGTGAAAAAGACAGAGTACGCTTTAGAAAACTACTCCGTCTCTGTAAATGAAACTTTACACACTGTTTGTGGGGATGTTAATGAATCCAGCTGGTTCTTGTCAAAAGGTAAAATATTAAATTCTATTTCAGTTAAGACAACTAAACTGAATTCTAAAGTAAAGGATTGAAGCAAACCTTGAAGAAAGGAACTGTACATTAGAATAATCGTGTAAACTTTTTCTTTTATAAATGTAGATATGATTTTTCTTCGAAATCATTCATGAGATATATTTTAGACATTTGTACACCATACAATATGTATCATCTTCCACATAAACCACAATAATGTTCGAATCTTTATTTGATCAATCTGTTAGTCAAGACGTTATTTGTTCACGGAGATTTTTCGAAATATATCTTCTCTTTCAAAATGATACAGAGGAATTAATTCATCGCACTTTTTCTTTTTCTTTTTAGAATACATTTTTAATTTCTAATCAGAAGATTGTTTTGTTTAAAAAAATAACCATATTAATTCATCAAAACAAATGAAATAAATAGAATTAAATAGAAATAAATACAAAAAGAAACAACATGAATAAATTATAATAAAATACTATTGTTGTTCCTAGAAATAGAAAATAGAAACTTTGAAAAGTTTTTTAAAAGAAGAAAAGATAGGAAGAAAGTAAAATGAAATCATTTCGAAAACTGATTTATTCAAGAGCGGATGTAATGAGGTTATGTGAGATTGCTGACGTCTTTAAATGTCTGCAAGTGGAATTTTCATTGGCCCATTAAATTAAACTCTAGTATGCGAATATGTATGTTATTGAACCTGAATATATACTGGGAAAAACATTTAAAAATGTCATTAAGGTATGTCACTCGTCAGCGTTTTAGAAAAGTTCACGCAGAAGCTTTTACTTCAAAACTACTTATTAAAATTCAATTGTTATAACATATTTAAATTCAACAATGTAAATTTTTTAATATTCAACGAAAAAAACTGCTCAAAAATCTACAAAGAATGAAGATTTATGAGGGACTATTTCTTTTTGGAAGGATATTTGGCAGAAAATTCTGCAAATCTGCACATTTATAAAATTTAATGTAATGGAAATTTAGCCTCACATACTTTTACTCGGAGAATATTTTCCGTTTTGATATTGCTAAAAAATATTTAGTATAGGTCTTAATTTATATTTTTAGACTAAGTTTTACACCTTCCCTCAACAAACTTTTCCAAAAAATGAAAATATATTGAACAAGTCAAGATCAAATTTACACCATTTTTTGCCTGAAAATCACATATTTTAACAAATATTTCAAAATAAACATCACTGATCCCACCTTTTTCTTTCATTATTTTAAACTACTCGATACTTGTGAATGATCAGCACTTAAGTCGTAAACAGTTTGATTGCCTATTTTTTATTGCCTATTAAGTTTTTAAATAACCCAAATATGTTATTTTTTAGTGCAAAAAGGTCACACAATAATTTACGCGCATTAATTTGCAAAATTTGTTTAATGATGAATATTATTCAAACTATTTACGTAAAATAATATTATGTTTATTGCCATGCTTACATCTGATAAAATATAATATGGGTTAAAGTAATTGACCAAAGAGATGAAATTTAAGTGCAAAAATGTCAATTTAAATGTACCGTAGATCAGTAAGATGCACACTGACCCCTATTTTCTTTGCGATTTTGAGTTACACTTTATGAGTACTCATCCAAAATATACTTCTCAAAAAATCCTTGATTTAACAAATTTCAGGAGTGACTTACCTTAAGTTAATAGAATTAAAGGTTATTCCAGAAATTTTTTCAGGGGATGGGGGTTGTGGGGATACATGCCAGCTTATAGATAAAAGAAACCAACTCCAAAGTGGCAAGATATTACAATGTATAAGCCATTAAAGGTACTTCTACTCTAACAATGCCAAAGCAAAACAAATAAATTTATTTAAAAATGGTGAGCAATACATATAAGGTATTTGACCTTTCACTTTGCGAAGTAATTTGCATTCAGTCGTAATAATCGAAAAAAGAGTTGAAAATGTATATTCCTCTTGTTCAGTCATATCCAAATGCTTACTGTGGGTCATTTGGCAGATGTGGATACAAGGTGAATTTGGTTTACACAATATTTATTTCGGAAAAAGGGGATAATTGCAGACAAAAATTCCTAATCAGGTTTCACCACACAATTTCAGTCAGTCCACAATTACTTGAGTATTTTCTGTATAACATTGAAGTTTATAAGTGTCCTAAACATTTATTTGTGGCAATTTTATAATATTTTGCATAGTGCTTCTGAAGGATTGCAGGGAGATTTTAAAGACTTTCCCGAGTTTAAAGGGTCGAGATGGTATATACAGAATATCCGTAGGCTCTGGGATCAAGACTGTTTACTGTGACATGACGACAGATAGGGGAGGCTGGACGGTGAGTACAACTCATAATAATAAATGAGAAAAGATAATCTACTTGTTATAAAATAAAAATATTAAGTATTTTTATTAAGTAAAAATCATCTACTCCGTGTATTAAAAAAAAATGATTTTTAAAGAATTACTCCTATACATGACTTAGAATCCATCTGTGTTTGTCAAGATCTTATAATGAATAATAAAGTAAACAATTCCTCAATTACTCAAGTTTGCTTAGTGTAAAACAAATTAAAAATCAATTAATATGTTTCAGGCTATTCAAAGAAGACAGGACGGTTCTACAAATTTTTACAGGACGTGGTCAGAATACAAACAAGGATTTGGTGATCCATCTACAAACTACTGGATTGGTAAGATTGACTTTTTGCTTTAGCAAAAAAAAAAACTTATTATCTCTAATTAAAACTGTATGTTAATGAGTACATTATCTACTTTAGCATCATTTTCTTTACATCTGGAAGCTTTTCTATGTATTCAAATATCATCTGTTATAGAAAGCAAACACAAACTATACCCAGTATGCACCAATAGTCATTTCCTGTTACTTTTTATAAATCCTGATAAATAAAGCCACTTTAAATGTATAAACACACAAAAAACTATTCGAAAGAAACATATGAAATATTTCTGCTTCTAAATAACTAGATGCTGTCATGAGACAGTAATACCCGCACTAAGGTGTTTGCCTCTAAATGCACACTGCTCTAAAATTAGGCTTTACCAAAGAAAAAGTCAATATAATTTAATAATTTACATAATAGGGCCTCCATGTATTCATCAAATTGAGCATAATATTCTCAAGTGAACATGTGACCCGTCACCATGGGCCTCGATCTTATAGGTACATGTATTTCATATTCATAATTCATTACCAGTCTGAAATTAAACAACAGAATTCAATTAATGATGTAAATTAGGTTTGAAACAAGGGGGGGGGGGTAAATTTTTGGCCCATAATTAAAACTTTTTAAATCTATTTTCTCATATAGATCAACAACAAATATTATTCAAATTAGTTTAAAGCGTTTTTGATGATTTTTTCCAAAATGTACAAACTTTTTTATACTTGATTAGGCAGAAACACCTTGAAAGCTGCCATATACCATTTATACCCAATCAATTTAGTCAACCCCCACCCTTCTCCCATCAACACACACACGCGCAAACACACCCTATTTTCCTGTTTTTGGAAATAGGCCTAGATGGCAAAGTTAAGATAAAACATCTTTTGTAAATAATAATTTTAAATTTGTTCTTATACTGTAAATGTATCTGAAGACCTGCATCACATTGGGCTTGCGTCACGTACCTAACTTAAGTACTAGTTTTACCATTATCATTTTTAGATAGCACTGCACGTGCAGTACTAGGCCTAGTGTTGTGTACACATCATTGCATGTATGTCAGTTGGAATTATTTTGTGTTTAATTGGATTATATTTCATGAAGTTGGAGCTATGGCAGTCGGTAAGTACACGTTTTGGTATAGATTTGGGTAAAATAGTCTGAAATGCAACTGGTTAGGTTAAAGTTTAAAGGATCAAAGGTCATCCGATGCTGCAATAAGACGAATTTCACATTCTAAAGAGTTATCGCCCGTTATCGACGTTACATTCAGTTACAAAATACAGAATTTTTTTCGGAGAGGGAGGGGGGACTTCCAGACCAGAATTTTCTGAGAAGCAAATAAAAGGAGAAGTTATGGTGGTGTCTGTTTTCTAGGGTGGAGGGCATCCAAAGTCTTTTTTATATTATAGTCCTGCAAATTCGGGGGGGGGGATCTCAAGATACACTTCCAGTCCCTGTAAACAGTAATGGCAAATGATCATGTGACTCCTAAATAGTAGGAAACTTTTTCCATTTGACAATACATAATTTTGCGCTTTTTGTGTTATTATGTTATGTAAATTTAATGGTATAAAGGTTTTGAACCCCCTGGAGGTCATCCCCACTCTCCTAATGATTCTAACTGGAAATGTTCACAATATGACTGCATTAAATGAAATAAAAGTGCATCAATAATAAGATTGCTTGACATTTCATTCATCAACCTATCCTCCTAGAATTAGGAATGAAAATCATTCAAAGAGATGGACCACATTAAAGTATTTGTATATAGGCTATTAACATATTTTTTTAAAAATGTAAAACAAGCAGTAGTTTGCATATACATGTCATGAATATAAACAGGGGTCTGGGATGGGGTGAAGGGAAGGATCGAGTTCCTGTCTCTTTACGTCTTAATGGTTGAAAACTCCTAAAATGAATGTTGACCTCAAATCCGACTTGTCCTCATTATTTTTCAAGTGGGGGTGTCTCCATTTGAGTGAAAAATTCCTGAGAGGGATGTTTAACAACAAACAAACAATTAAATGACATAAAAAAACAATATTGATTTGCGTTAAGAAATATGGGGAAAGGGAGGGAACATTATACACTTATTTAATGACTACGAGGTAAACAGTCAAACTGTTGTCCCGAGGTAGTGGGGGAGACCTGGGAAACTGTTGCCCAAGGCCGAAGGCCAAGGGCAACAGTTTCCCAGGTCTCCCCCACGTACTACTGAGGGACAACAGTTTGACTGTTTCACCGAGTAGTCATTGAATAAGTGTTTTATTACCTAACCTACTATATAATTAATTAAATTGGAATAAAAACACACAAACAATCAATAAAAAGTTTTCACAATTGTTTATTCACATACTTGTCTATTAATTAGCTGAATACATAATATAAAGACTAAATTAATATTTTTATTTTAAAGTAATACTTAATAAATTTATTGTTTGTGTGTTTTGTTTAAATTTAATTCATTATAGAGCAGGTAAATAGTGATGTCGTGATCATCAAAACGCTTGAATATCACAATGATGCTTTAACCTGAGTCAACAGTTCATTCTGTGGACCGGTCAACAGTTCACTGTTTCATGATCACGCAAAAACATAAAGTAAACCGTGAAACAGTTCAAAATGCCTAATTATAATTTAGATAGTAAGTTAGGTAATAATAAATCTTATTTGTCTGTCAGTCTGGCCATCTTTGACAGTATGTGCATCTGTCACAATAAATTTAACCTTGATCATAACTTTTGAATAATATGAGATAGGGCTTTTATATTTCACATGTACATTACCACAAAACTTTCTAAATGTACTATGATTTTTTAACCCAAGTGAGACCTTGACCTCAAAATTTTACCTACTTTCCAAAAAATAACATTTTAAATTAATCATTTTGAAAGAGAAAAGATATGGCATTTAAATTATACATGTATATTACATCTGAAAAGACTTTTCTAAATATATCATGACTTTTGACTTTCTGATCTTGACGTAGAAGTTTAACCTACTTTTCAAAAATATTATATTATATATTTATATATATATATAACTTTTGATTGAAAAGAGATGGGTCTTTCATATTTGACATGTACTTTACCTGCAACAAAATATTTCGAGCATGCGATGATTTCCCCCCTTTGACCTAATTTTCATAAAGTGACATATGATAGGGATGCATATTTGATACACAATCTGCCATAAATTATGGCATCCCATTCACTTAAACACAGAAAGTAAAGGACCACAATTCTTTGAATTTGCATGTATAATCTTGATATGGAAACATCCTCATATAATGTATATTCAAGTTTTTTATGCTACGCCATGATTAGGAATACATGTATTAGTTTTTGTCATGTCCGTCCTCCACCCTTCCATCTGTCTTTCCATCGAGCTCAAAGAAATTACTTTCTAGATATTTTATCAAAGTTCATATGCTGATGCATATACTGATGTAAACTATCCAACTGTGGCAATATTTTTTATGCGCCCGGATCGATAGATCCCGGGCATATATTGTTTTTGTCCTGTCTGTTTGTCTGTTTATCTGTTTGTCTGTTTGTCTGTTGTCAACTTTAACTTTGGCCATAACTTTTGAACAATAAGAGATAGAGACTTCATATTTGGTATGCATACTCCACTATTAAAGTCCTTTCAAATGACATCAAGGTCAATGACCTTGTGACCTTGACTGTGACCTATATGCTAAAAATAGCTTTTTCCACTGTTTGTCATAACTTTTTAACCATAGGAGATAGGGACTTGATATTTGGTATGCATACTCCTCTAATAAAGCCCTTTCAGTTGACAACAAGGTCAATGATCTTGTGACCTTGACTGTGACTTATATGCTAAAAAAAGCTTTTTACACTTTTTGCCATAACTTTTGAACCATAGGAGATAGGAACCTCATATTTGGGATGCATACTCCACTGATTAAGTTCTTTCAGATGACACCATGGTCAATGACCTTGTGACCTTGACCGTGACCTAGATGCTAAAAATAGCTTTTTACACTTTTTGCCATAACTTTTTTTACCATAGGAGATAGGAACTTCATATTTAGGATGCTTACTCCACTGATTAAATTCTTTCAAATGACACAATGGTCAATGACCTTGACTGTGACCTATATGCTAAAAATAGCTTTTTACACTTTTGGCCATAACTTTTAAACCATAGTAGATAGGGACTTCATATTTGGGATGCATACTCCACTGATTAAGTTCTTTCAAATGACACCACGGCCAGTGACCTTGTGACCTTGACTGTGACCAATATGCTAAAAATAGATTTTTTGATCTTTGTTTCCGCCGGGTGCATAGTGTTTCACAAACACATCTTGTTTACCTTTACTTTCCTTTGACCTTTACTTAACTTTTCTTAAAATTAGTGTTTAGCTTTATTTTAGAGAAACCATAATGATTCAAGTTGTGTTATGAAACTTCACATGATGATACATACTGATGTAAGCAATTAAAGCTTTACAATGCTTCACTCTTTTTTACCTTGACATTTCCTGTGATCTTGACCTCACTGTCTTAGACTAGATCAGTTTTGAATAAACAGTTCAAGATATATTAATCAAACTTCATATGCTAATACATACTGATGAGAGCTATTATTGCATTAACTTATTTTGACCTTGAATTTTCTTTTGACCTTGACCTCACTTTTTAAAATATGTGTTTATCTAAGTTTCAAATAAACCATTAATTATATTTTTATCAAAATTCATTTGATAATAGTAAATTCACACTGATGTAAGCTTTTCAGCTAGAACAACATTTTGACCACAACCTTTCCTTTGACTTCTCTTTTCTTAAAACAAAGTGTTAAGCTCACTTTTATTAAATCATTAAAGATATTTTTATCAAACATAATAAGCTAATATGTATTAGTGAGAGCTATTCAGCTGCATCAAAAACTTCATCTTGCACATTCCTGTGACCTTGACCTCCCTCCTCTTTAATATGTATTTTGCTTAGTTTTTAAGAAATAATTTAAGA